CTTCTATGAGATATGTTGAGCTGTGTGAAGGTCAGGAAGAGATAGGAATATCCTCATTTGGCTCTGGGCCTGGTGCATCTCAACATCCCTACTATATCTCTGTGACTAGTCACACACTGTAGATGGTCCAAACAGCTATACACTAAGTCTACAATGAAGACTTGATAAGTAATGTATACAAACAATTGTATGGTACATGTTGAGCTGAGTGTGAAGGTCAGGAAGAGATAGGAATATCCTCATTTGGCTCTGGGCCTGGTGCATCTCAACATCCCTACTATATCTCTGTGACTAGTCACACACTGTAGATGGTCCAAACAGCTATACACTAAGTCTACAATGAAGACTTGATAAGTAATGTATACAAACAATTGTATGATACATGTTGAGCTGTGAGAAGGTCAGGATGAGATAGAAATATCCTCATTTGGCTCTGGGCCTGGTGCATCTCAACATCTTTACTATATCTCTGTGACTAGTCACACATTGTAGATGGTCCCACCAGCTATACACAAAGTCTACAATGAAGACTTGATAAGTAATGTATACAAACGTTCGTAAAAGACATGATGAGCTGCCATAAGTTCAGGAAGAGATAGAAATGTCCTCACTTGGCTCTGTGACTAGTCACACACTGTAGATGTTCACACAAACCACACACATAGTCTACAGTGAACACTTTATGAGTAATGTATACAGCATTGCTTTAAGACATGTCAAGCTGTGTGAACGTCATTCAGGGGAGAAATAGAAATATCCTCACTTGGCACTGGGCCTGGTGCATCTCAACATCTCTACTATATTAACTATAAGGTACTGTATTAGGTTAACTGTAAGAAAGAACCACGAGCTCCTAAGTTCGCCTTAATAATTACTTGGCTTGAAATACCTACTTTGTATGGTCCCCATTTCAAAGAAAAGTATTAAAAGTATTAATAAAGAAGGAATTCCGTATCATTTGATTTTATTTCATATATCTCTGTGACTGCTCGCACACTTTAGATGGCCCCACCAACCAATCCTTAAGTATTGAAAGAAGATTTGATAAGTAATATTTACAAACAATTATATGAGAGGTGTGTTGCATTTAGTTAAAGTTTTACGTACATGCCAGCTTTATGATTTTATGAGCAGTATGTTTAGAAAAAATTGCAATACATTCTGTAGAAAATAATTATTGTAGGACTAGTACACAAGCTAATTCGAGATAAATTTGACAACAATATCACTAACAAAGGATATCAACTACAATGACTCCCTCACACCACCTACCGATTCTACTTATCACTACAACCTCATAAACAATAATTCATCCTTACAAGTACAATACTCTCCTACACTTCTCGACTGGAAGGCAATGTTCATTCTACCCTCGTAGGTATTTCAAAACTCCTAGTCAGGCAGTGTAGGTTTGAGTACCTACTCTCTGAACATTTATATACTGATTAGCTGTTGCCTGACGGCTTCGCCTGACCTACTTTTGGTTTTTTTTTACTATTATAAACCCGCTGAAGTTGTGACTTCACTATGGGCTAAAATAACTTTTTGCATTGGTTTTCTCATAAAATTTTTGCAAAGTATTAGATAGTCTATCTCAAAATAGCATTAAGTAACATAAAAAAACCTTAATTTTGTGACATAATATCACATATTAAATGTGATATATTTTGCTCTCTGTCGCTATATCTACCTGATTTGATATTATTGTTGAGTTTTTGTCATCTCTTTCTTTTATATTTCTTGAGCTACCAATACTAACATTTAACTTTTTTACCTGCGTTCATAGCAGGCAGTTCAGGGAAGTTTAATCTTGTCAAGCTGTAGCATATTATTAGACATTTTTGAAACACTTTCAAGCTACAGACTATGCTGTAAGAACACAAAGGCAAATGTAGTGTAAGGTTTACCTGTAGGGTAAATTGTATATAGAACGATCGCAAATCTCTGAAACTGTATTGGCCTACAATATCCGAAAGTGAAAAACAAACTTTAACCAGTAGCTCTAATTGTAGGAAAAGGACGCAACACATCATAGCGATAAATAACAGAATATCCAGCAAATTAAAGGGTGAGCCGGTACAGTACAAAGATGAACTGTACTGATAAAATGTTTGCGGCAGTAAAGAGGATTCGAACCCATGACATCGCTGCCTTGGCCCGAAGTGACGTTACCGACTGAGCCACTGACTCACCAAATTTATGCCTGTATAAACTTTAAACAAAAACTATCCCTAATTTTACAATAGTTTGGCTAATGGTAACAATTAATACTGTACTGAGATCATGTTTTGGAATAGAAAATTTTGAATGTTTTTAGGAGGTTACATGTTTTATTTTGTACTTATTTTTTAAGAAATAGCATGAGCAATAACTCCTAAAATGTAATAAAGTGCTTACTTTAAGCACTTATACAACACTTTATAAACAGCTTTTTTTATCAATTTCTGTATTTTTATTATGTTAACCTACGACCGTTTTTTAAAGTAGCCGTTTCAGTACAGTTCTTTCTCATAACAGCATTATTTACTTTCATAACAGCATAGTTTTACTCATAACAACACAGGTAACGGACCAATGAGGTTGAAGGATTGAGATGAAATTGTAATGATTCGAACTTCAACTAATCAGCTGTTCAAACCAATTTAATTGTTGAGTGGTGCTATTAGTGTTTCGTACAATGTTTCGCTGCATCACTGTCAGTGGCAATGAGAGGTGATAAACAAAAACTTCTTTTAGAAGCTAGAAGTAGTGATTTTTAGTAATTAAAACACTGTTGTAGGTAAAGTAGTGTACGCAACTCACGTAAATAGTGTTAACGACACTGGTAGAAGTTTTTAGGGCCCTCGCCAAGGCTCGTACCTTAAATTTTCTACTCATTTTGTTAACACTATCTTTACGCAATTGTTGCGTAAACTACTATAAATAAACTGCTTTATAATTAAATAGAAAGTTTGGTAATAATATTTAAATGGGAACTGCCTTTGTTTCCAAAAAAATTACAGTTTTGACTTTAAACTGATTTCAATAAACCGAATGAGATGAAAAGAACTTTAAAAGTTGTAGTAAATTTTATTCTGCACAAAGGATTTTTCATCAGATTTAAGATAAAAGCACTGGTTTAGCTCATACGGACCAAAATAAAAAGGCTTGCATAGTAGATTTTCAACAAAAATCGCTAAACCCCATTAAATTTTGAATTTTGTAATTTTGTCTTATTGCACATCAACACCATACACAGACCTTCTATGTCAAATTTGATAATTCGAGGCCGTGTATATACGTCCACAAAAGATTAGTACAATTTCGTACCTAATCCATATTGCTATTTTTTACGATGCTCTACCTGTATTGACTTGTTTCTGCCTCACACCACAATTTAGTTTAACACACAATTTTTGGCAGTTTTGCTCGTCTGAGTAGATATTCTGACCTTAAATTTAAATTGCTGACTAGCAAAAAAAATAGACAATATTGGCAAATAAACTAACTTCTTTCTTTTCCTGACATCGCCTCTTATGATTAGAGTTTACATAGTCTAGCTGAAAAAAAACATCTCAGTTGATGAATTAAGGATTAAAATTAGAAAAGCATTTCTCAAAATTAAAACTAAATCCAAAAAACATAGTTTTAAACATGAATTTATATGGAAATGGCATTATTGGAAATCCTGGAGAAAGGCATCCATAATTTTATCTTATAGTTTATAACTGAGATGTTTATGTCAAGTAGAGTGTAGAAAATGTCCCTGATTCACCCAATAAGGAGAAATCGCACAGAGTGATGGTGAAAATAAACTAGGAAGCCAGTATGTAACCTCGTCTATTAAATCTGCTAATCAAAAATATCTATTTTAGACCACAATACCAATAAACTTGGAAACAAATATGAGTAAAACTAAACGTTAGCATGTAGCCAATATTAAAAAAAACAAAGGTAGAAAGTCGTGTGTTGAAAAGTAACAGAATAGTTAATGATTGAAATTGTACTAATCTTTTGTGGACACCCTGTATATATTGAGGTATAGTGGTCGTCTGTCAGTCAGTGGTATTTACCATTTATGAGATTGAATTTAAATTTGCATAATTTGTTAACGTCAAAACTTTGATAGACTTAAATTAGAGATTGTATTTCAGCCTCTTAACCTATTTCATAAATTTAATTTGACAACTGTTATAAAATTGATAGCCTTCTTTGTTGGGTAAGCAACATCAAAAGAACCTCAATAAGTCATAAAATTTAAACACAATTTAATGTATATCGTATTATTAACTACAGTAATTAAAAAATCAGACACCAGACTAAATTTACTTCCCTAAACATAGTACCGAGATGACGATTGGTGATTTGCCAACATTCCAAGTCAATTTTTACCCAGCCTTCTCTGCCGACACTCTGCACACTTTATAAGCTGTGAGCTCCATGAGGGATCAGCAATTTGTCGCACGTTGGGCCGAAGCCAGCCAGACTTGTTTATTTTCACATTTTGCTACTGAGCATTGAAATTGTAAGGAATTCAAATCACCTTGAATGGTTGTTAAAATTAAATCTCAGGGACTTTGAATGTCAGTTTATTTATCACCGTTTATGCATATATGGCTCATGTTACTTTGGAAAACTATTCTTCATGATGTAAAATAAGATACAAATTTAACTTAACAGCATGCCTGTAAGAATAGTTTTCCTTTTAAGCATGGTCGAATAATTGTCACAAAAAAAACTAAAAAATGTTTTTGCCCAACAATTAGTAGTCCTATGACTTAATCAGTAACCAAGCATTCTCATAATATTTTTACACTCATCCCTTATTCCAGGCATTAATCAGATAAGTCAAACAGTTTTTATTGAAACAGAATTCATGCCAAAGTATTGCCATAAACAACACATTTTATCTGTTTGGATGTAAACATACTTTAAGGGTAACTGGAAAGCTCAATCTATACTATTATAATTACAGATAAAAAAGTAAAAATAATTATTTAATACCGATGGATTGAACTTACCAGATTCTGTGTCGGTGTTCTCAGCTTCCTCCTGCTGCCTACGAACCCTCTCCGCTGGAACAAACATTTGCAAATTAATATTTTACTTCAATTCTTTTTCCTTTTGTGTTTGTTACAGTAGCACTCATAACTGTTCATTGTTGCCGTTGTAATAAATAATTTTCTAGCTACAGACAATGTTGTAAGAACACAAAGGCGAATGTAGTGTAAGGTTTACCTGTAGGGTAACTTTTACTTTTGGCAATGAATAGAGCGATCGCAAATCTCTGAAACTGTACAGGCCTACAATATCCGAAAGTGAAAAACAAACGTTAACCAGTAACTGTAAGGTATAGTTGAGGATTAAGTAGTGATTCTCAATGTTTGGCGGAACCAACGGTTATTTTATTTAAAAAAAAACGGGAGAAGTTTATACGTTTCCTGCAAGTTTCATGAATGGACTAATTTTTATGTTTTCTTAGGTGAGTTTTACCTGTACTAAAACTGAAAAATTAAAACTATACACAATCCCTGTTTATTTTTATTTTTTTTTTTACACAGATATCCTTCAATATCAAAATGTCTATGACAATCATGTTTCGATCAACACTTACTGTGAAGGAAAACAGAAGTGATCTGTTTAAGAAATTCAACATTGTCTGTCGGCACAGAACAGGTTTTGTGAGTCTTATATCTACGGTTCAACATGAGTTAGGTATCACACACAGATATCACTACAAAAACACTCAAGACTAACACTGAAAATAATTATTACAATAGGTTAATCTATCAAATTGATGATAAGGCAGGGTTATCTCACTAAAGGTTTATCAGTGGGCTCCATACAGGTGCTGTCAGTATGTTCAGGTGCCAAGAACCAAGCGGTACGGTATGGTGAAACACGTATTTGTAATTGTGCAATTATGTTAACACTCTAAAACTATTCGCCATCGCTACGTTGTTCAAAGATTTTTCTCAACCCTATTATTCTTAGCATTAGTTTATTACAATGAAAATACTTTACAAAACAACTTTGATTAACACTTTTGTGTAATTTTATTAATAAGAGCATTTATTTCAACAATCAAAAATAATTTGTTGATTATAAATGTATATTTACAGTAAACTATACATTGATAAGAAAAAATTTGTTTGGTAAATTAAAAAAATATCGGTTACTTATGTTAGTTTCTAAGATTTGTGATTAATTAGTAAATGTTAGACAGTTTTATAGGTACTTTGAATGTATTTTAAAATATTACTTTTTTATAACACTGAGATCTGTTTGTTACAAAACGAATACAGAAAAACTTAAAACAATAACTCACAATTTGTTTGACTTTGAAATTCAAACAAATTAAACATACTAAAAAACTTACAAAAAATATGTTTAAGATGATGTATAAACAAATTTATACAAATGAGAAAACACATGGACAGAGCAAGACCACTTTTAACAAACCCTAACTTTAGCGGTAACTGAAGTTGCCAAATTAACAAAGCAGAAAGACGATGAACAGTGCAACTTAAGCAAATAAACTCAACGCCTCCACATTTATTCTGTCAAGTTGAACAATAGTGATAGAGTGGGAAGACAAGTTTGAACAGAAGTTGAAAGCCTAATTGAATTTAACAAATAATGATATGTTGTATAAACATGTAAAGCTATCACACTTAGTGCAAAACATATAACTTATGTGAAGAGTGGAATAATATGAGCGTTCTGAAATATTGTACTATACCCGTTGTGACATTTGGCAATATATTACTATATTCTTCTGAGCAGCATGAAAATAATAATATAATGGAAGAATAGGCAATAATAATCTTATTGTTGTATTATATAGTTATTTGTGTAACTAGTGGGCAAAGTGGCACTTTGCTACAAACGAGAGCAATGTTTACGAGAATGTTTACGGAATGATCTCGAGTGCAGCAAAGGCCTTTTGCACTCGTGTTACACATTATTATTTTTCCTACAGTCACCATAAAGCATATAAATAATTAGTCTTTCAAACACTATACAACACGTTTTTAGGTTCAGCTGGCAACACAAATAGGTGCCCTAGAGAAAGTAGTACCCGGTCCGTATCACTCCGCTATTTTTCCTCGGCAAGAAATGTGCTCCGCAATTTGAGAATATAGTTCCGTATGTTTTTGTAATTTGAAGTGGTTTCCGCGCCTAAAAAAAATGCTTTAAAGGTATTTTCTTGTTTATAAAGATCGTAGGAATGTTTTAAAAACGTTTTAAAGAAAAGTACAGAAAGTTCAGAAATACCGAAACTATAAACACGAAATGACATGTTAAATCGTAGTTATAATAGTCTATCAGCTGCTCATAGTATTATTATCTTTAAGTGTTGCCAACCTATTTCCAAGCGTACACGGATTACGTGCATAATAGAACCACGCTGTTTTGTGTTGTTTCGTTGGAATCCTGATGTGCGGCAAAGTATAAACCGTACAACAAAGTATAAACCGTACGGCAAAGTATAAATATGCAGCAATTAGCAGCTTTCTGTACTATAAACAGTACAAGGAAGCCAACTTTGTTGGGTGACTGTAGGAAAAGTATTTTTTTTATGAATTTGTTAACCTGAAATTATTTTAAAATATAAGTAAGGGAATGTAATAAACCCATTTTACAGAAACTTAGCCTAAACAGAATCCGGTACTTTCGTATTATACGGAGGCCACTCATTTTACAGCGCGCTGCGGCGGTTAATTAGGTTGGGTGATCATAAATGTTTGTATGAAAGTCCTCTTTTTGTTATGAATCAAACGATACCAGATGAGTCATAACCGCCACAGTGCACTGTGTAAGGGTGGCCTCATTATAATACGAAAGTACCCAAAATCCTCAAGACAGCTGGGCAACCTTGAAAAGCTAGCCATATAGGGCCTTTATGTAGAAGAAATCCTTGTTGATATGAACGTAAAAATTATTTTTAGATAACTATTTTATGTTAAATGTTTATTGTTTTTAGCGGAGTAGTCCCTTATAGCTATTGTTACCTCTTAGGTTAACTCTAGTTTTTCTTTCAGTAATTCAGGGTTTTTGGTAATCCAAAACTCATTTGGTACCGTAAGTGTCAGAAGAATATCAATACAAAAACATGGCTACCCAAAAAATTGTTATGCTACTTTTACTTTTCTTAACACATAGGTTAAAGTTTATATTATTTTCGGTACTTCAATGTTTTTGTGACATGATTTTCGTAAATCCAACACTAATCAGTCAAATAAGTACGTTGAACAAGCACTATAACGCCACACTCACTTGGCTACCCAGGCAATTTTTATGACACCTTTCTAACTTTATAGGTTTACTTGAGCATTATTTTCGAAAGCGTCCTATTATCAAGCACCAACTTATTGAACAACCAAAACACCTACCATGTGCCAGGTTGAGGGAGCTGGGCTTGCGTCTCTGCTCAGGCATGATCCGTTCCATCAGTTTACTGATGCGGTCGTTGCCTTTCTCCTTCTTGACCATCGGCCCAGGACAGCTCTCATCCAGAACCTTTACACAGGCTCTGTGGATGTTCAGCCCACAATCTGAAACACAAGGAAAACATTATCTCTCAGTAACTGCTTCAAGTAATAAAGTTGTATCACACAAAATAGTTTTCTAATAAAGTCCATTTTATTTTCAAGAAATTCAACTAATGTAAACATAAACCATAACAAACAATACTAATAATTAATACACAACAGCTGTTATGTCACATTCCCCCCCCCCTTTTTTAAGGAACAAAGTCTTTGTATTTTGTTGGAGGCTTGGAAGTTCTTGTAGGCCTTTTCTGCTGTACTTCCACAATTTCAGGTTCTTTTCTCTTGCTGTCTTGAAAATTATGTCCGTATGCTGGCCTGAGGTGAATTCTGTTCCTCCTATAGGTCCCACCTTCGGTTTCAACAATATATGAGTTTGGCATTTCATGTTTCTTCAAAATTCTTCCTTGGACCCAATCTCTTTTCCCATTCTGTACATAAACAGCTTGATTGTCTTTAAGTTCCTTGAGACTGTGAGAATTCTTATCATAGTAATTCTTCTGTTCTACCTGTTTTTTTCTTAAGAGTTTGAATTGTATCAGTAGTAGGGAAAAGGGGTTTGAGAACTTCTTTTGGTACTGGAATTACAGTTTTCAATAGTCTTCTTATCAACATCTGAGCAGGAGCTTTCAGATGATATTTGGGAGTGTTATTATAATCTACAACGGCCACATTCAAATCTCCTTTTGAATTCATAGTTTTTATAAGCATTGATTTTAGAGTTTGGATGGCTCTCTCTACCATGCCGTTTGATTTGGGGTAGTATGGAGATGATGTTTCATGTTTTATCTGGTAATTATTCACATAGGCAGAGAACTTAAGGCTGTCAAAGGGAGGGCCATTATCCGAGTGGATCTTTTTTGGCAATCCATGTGTTCTGAGGATTTGAGTTAAACTGCTGGTAACAGATTCAGCATTTGTTGTATTCATTTTTTTAATCTCTACAAACTTAGAGTGGTAATCAATTACCAACATGTGTTCTGCTCCTTTGATTTAAAAAAAATCAATGCCAATTTCTTCCCATGGATTCTCAGGTACCGGGTGAGGTTTAAGAGGTTCTCTGGTGTTAGATCTCTGGAACGCTTGACAAATTTTGCACTGATTAACTAAGCTATTGATGTCTTTCATCAAACCAGGCCAATAAAAGGCCATTTGTGCTCTCCTTTGGCAAGAGTTAATTCCTTGATGGGACGCATGAATTTGATGCAAAATGTTGGATCGAAGGCTCTTTGGAATCACAAGACGATTTCCTAAATAAATCAAACCCTCAAACTCATGTAACTCGTAACGGCTAACCCAAAACGGATGAGCTTCAATGTCAGTTTTATTTTTGTGTTCAGGCCACCCATACTCAATATAGTATCTTACTTTTTCTAACTCCACATCTGTATTTGTTTCTGATTTCAGCTTTTGTAATATGTCATCATTTTCGTACACTACTAAAGAGTACACAACCTCCGCACCATTTTCAAGATAATCCGTATTTACATTGTCATTTGTAGGAGCTCTGGATAACGAATCAGCGACAAACATTTTCTTTCCTGGAACATGAATCAGTTTGAAGTTGTATCTCATTAATTCCATTACCATTCGTTGAAGTCGTGGAGATAAATTGGATATAGGCTTCTCAAGAAGGCCAATAAGAGGTTTATGATCAGTCTCTATGACAAATTTCGTTCCATATAAGTAATAGTGGAATTTTTTACATCCATTTAAAACCGCTAGAAGTTCCTTTTCTATTTGGCTATATCTTTGTTGAGTAGTAGTTAAGGCAGAAGAGCTATAGCCAATTGGATGATTTTCTTGGAGAAGAACAGCACCAAGTCCATACTTGCTTACATCTACAGATAGAACTGATGTCTTCTTGTTGTCAAAGTAAGCCAACACAGGGCTTTTGATGATTTCTTCTTTTAAGTCCATAAAACTCGTCTGCTCAACATCTGTCCACACAAAACTTTTATTTTTACTCATAAGTGATCTTAGCGTCCCAGTTTTGTCTGATAGGTTATTTATGAATCGTCCAATATATGTCACCATGCCTAAAAATCTTTGAAGATCGGCTTTGTCTTTTGGAGTTGGGTAGTCTTGTATTGCTTTCAACTTCGATTCAACTACGGATATCCCTTGTGAAGTTACTTTATGTCCAAGGTAAATTACACTTTCAGCACATATTTGACTTTTATCCTTAGACAACTTGAGTCCAAAGCATCTAGCTTTTGTTAGAAACTCTTCCAATCGTTTGTCATGTTCTTCTTTAGAATTCCCGAATATGAGAATGTCATCTATATACGAAACTGCTCCCTCTAAACCAGATATTACAAAATCCATTGCTTTTTGATACACTTCCGGAGCGCTATTCAATCCATACGGTAGTCTGCAGTAACAAAATCGGCCAAAAGGGGTAGCTATTGTACATAATCGTGAACTTTCTTCAGTCAGAGGTATTTGTAAGAATGCCAATGAAGCATCAAGCACACTGAAGTATTTTGCTCCTTCCAGCTTGGAGAAAATCTCTAGTGGGGTTGGCATTTTATAATGCTCTCTTTTGATGTACTTGTTTAACGTTCTAGGGTCTATGCAAATTCTTACTTTACTATTTGGTTTTTTCACAATCACTATGGGATGAACCCAGTCAGTTGGTTCACTTACTTCTTTTAAAATACCTTTGTCAACCATCTTAATTATCTCTGTACGAACCAAATCGTTCAATGCCTGAGGTATAGGTCGTGCAGAACAAACTTTTGGAATAGCTTCATCCACTAGTTTAATATTGTATGTGGTTGGTAATTTCCTTAACTCATCATCAAAAACATCTTGGTAATCCGATAAAACGTTGTTACTTTTATTTGCTACTTCATTTATTCTGGCAATAAGGTTCAACGTTTTACATGTGAAGAGTCCAAGAATAGGGCAAGCCTCACCATTCACAACGTAAAATTGTTCTAGAGGACTGGTTTGATACCAGAAACTCTACAGTTAAGTAAGCATGTGCCTAAAACATCTATATCATGGCCACTGTAAGACTTAAGGCATTTACCAGTAGGATTAATGTTTGAATCAGTTGAGATTTTCCAAAAAATGTTGTAAGGAATAACATTTACATCTAGACCAGTGTCAAGTTTGAAAGAAATTTCTAATCCATTTACAATACGCTTTTGAGTCCAAGAATTCACGGAATCTACACTAACAATTGTTTCTATACTAATCAAATTTTCTTCAGAGGCTTTAAAATTTTCTTCATATTCTACAGAATTTAACCTTGCTTCTTTGCAAGCTTTTGAAAAGTGGTTTAATTTGTTACAGTTGGTACATCTTTTCCCCCAAGCTGGACAGTTTCTATAACTATGGCTAGTCTTACACCTAAAACAGGTCTTCTTAATTTCATTTTTAGCAGGCCTGAAATCATTATTCTTAGCTGCTATCTTATGAATTTCAGGACTAGGATGATCGTGATGGTTTTGAACAGAACAACTTTCTCCCATGTTTTTAACTTGTTTTTGACTCTCTTCCCTAGCCTTAGAATAGTGAATAGCTGTATCAAGCTTTAAATCAGATTTCATTAGCAGCCTTTCTTTAGTCATCACATCTTTGGTTCCAATAATAAGCAAATCCCTAACTAAACTATCAAGGTTCACCGAACTGACATTTTCTTGCCTGAGTTTTCAGGTGGGTTACAAATGTGTCAATTGGCTCCTCTGGTCTTTGTCTCATATTGAAAAACTCATATCTGTTTACAACAGTGTTGACTTTTGGCTTAAAGTAGTCATCAAAAGATTGAACAACATTATCTAAATTATCCCTATCTGTATCTTCTAGTTTGAAGTTATTAAAAATGTCCAAACAATCATTCCCCATTAAACAAAGGAGTAAGGCAACTTTAGTTTTACCGGGCTTTTTAGATTTCTCAGTAGCTTCTAAATACAAAAAGAACTTTTGCTTGAATCTAGCCCATTCATCAAAAGTGTTCTTGTTCAAATCTATAGGTGGTGGGGCTTTCAAATCCATAATGTGTTGTTCTAGGATGAAATAATAGCTATATGGTTTTATATTACCTTATTATTTTGACCGCTGCCACCAGTAATAAAGTTGTATCACACAAAATAGTTTTCTAATAAAGTCCATTTTATTTTCAAGAAATTCAACTAATGTAAACATAAACCATAACAAACAATACTAATAATTAATACACAACAGCTGTTATGTCACACTTCACACTACAGACACTAGTCTTTTAGACGAGAAACTCTATCGACGATCACTCTAATGACGAATCTCTATAGCCCCTGACACATGGAGCTTGTTGCAGCAGCTAGTTCTTGCTGCGAGAACCAGCAGCTTTAGTCGCTAGTTCTCCAGAGCGCTAGAAGTCCTGTCAGACGAAGCTGGAGAACTAGCGCTACAGCTTACAAGTCTGGGGATGTAATTTGATGTAACTACACACTCCGTAGGTAACAAAAATAATTTTGGTATTAGAAGTGATATTTTGTCAATGATCAACCGTCATAGAAGTAAAAAGTGCTACAAAAAAATTAAATATTAATAAATAAAAACACTACTATTTTGTATCTACTACGGGCATGTAAATTAACTAATTAAAATCGAATAAGTTGTGGTAGGCGTAAGGACTTTATCTTTCATCAACACAAAAATCACATTCATTTAATTAATATATGTGAAATGTAGCAATCGTAACAACGAGCAAATTATGACAATGCGTGAAAAAATTTCTAAACATGAAAGTTTAAATTTATTTTTTATTAGTTTAAATGTGTTCAATTAATTTAAATAAATTCATTTTTCTTAATGCTAGAACTAGCACAATACTGTCAGGCAAATACAGCTGGGTGGTCACATGACCTGAGTGACTCTTACAAGTGACAATCGCTTGTAACATTAAACTGTTTAAAACCTCCAGCGGCTGGAGATACCAGCTCATGCGAGTGTTTCTAGCAGCTGGAGAATCAGTCACACGATGCTGGTTTTTTGCTGGTTCTAGCGGCGAGAAAACCAGCTCCGTGTGACAGGGGCTTAACCAGAGGGAATTATTACAAACATATCATCTTCCACTTCACTGGAAGAGAGGTTGCTGTCTTGTTTCCAGGCCTCTCTATTTCCAGAGTTAGATCTTTAATAAGACCGAGTAGGCCGCGGACTAATGGATAATTTTTTTTTTCCTATAGTCACCCAACAAAGTGGGCTCCCTTGCATAGATTGTAATACAGAAAGCTTACTTTGGCACACACCAGTATTCCAACCAAACAACATTATACAGCAATCTTTTATTATGCACGTAATCCGTGTACGCTTGAAAATAAGTTGGCAATACAAAGATATTACGACTAGGATCAGCTGGTAGTGTTTCCCATTTCGTTCAATGTTTGGATTTAACCTAACCTAAAAAGGTGTTGTACAGTGTTTAAAGGACTAATTATTTATTATTTATATGATTTATAGTAACTGTAGGAAAAATATAATGTGTAACACAAGTGCAAACTGCCTTTGCTGCACTCGAGAAACTTTTTACAATCGCCTACGGCTCGTGCGTAAACATTTCTCTCGTGTGCAGCTAAGTGCCACTTCGCCCACTAGTTACACAAATAACTAGTGTATTATGCTTTACTTTTTTTTGTTAACTGAATATTGTAATTAATGATTATTGTTATATTAATCATGTTACCTATACATCATGTTACCTCATTCTTAATTTGCAATTATATTATTACTGATGTAGCCTGTAACAGGCTACAAAATTGAGCCATACTTGGACCTACCTCCACTCTCTTAATCCACCACCTGCAATCTCACTCCTCTTTTTCCTACATCCCTTCCCACCTCTATTCACATCCCCTTAGGTCTTCCTGTAAGTATCCTTCTCTGTTTCATCGATTCTATTTACTTAGACATTCTCTTAAATTTATTTACACATCTTCAAAACGTATAGTCTGGTGGTCAGTAACCTACATTCTAACTTTTCATGATACTTTGCTGAGCCACATACATTGTGGATAGCCAGGACTGCCAAATCTCAAAACAAGAATACCTATACTTTTGTACAGCACCTAACTGTAAATGAATTCATAACTCAAGATGCTGTATCTTCAGTTCTTAAGACAATTACAGTCCAGTCAGGTTGGAGTGACAGATGATAACTCACCAGAACACTGATACCCTTGTGGGCCGATGCCCCATATGATGAGCTGACAATGGTTGCAGTACGTCACAGTGTAGTAGTGGTGTGCCACAAAGTGATGTCCACGAGCAGTCACCTACAACATCAAATCACATTAGAGACACACACTCCCAACTTGCAAAGACTTTTACTGTAGTCTTTGGTGGCAAACCGACCATTAGACATGGGGTAGTATAATGCAATAATATTACATTGGATTATCAATATATCCTTGTAAAAGTAAGGAATCATCAGCTAACCCCTCTAATCGTCGCTATTGATTGTAGTGATTGCTGATGTCGACTTTGAATGCTGTACGATTTTGATACTGATAGATTATGTTGATTTCAATTTTTCCTGATCTGATATTATTATGTATATATAGCAAATTAGCAAACAGTGATAGAAAAGAAAGCTGTTAAAAACCACTAAGAAGATTGATAAATTATTCACAGAACAATATTGAACAGTTGATATATTGAACACTTTATTTTATACTTAGTAATCTACAATCGTTAAAAATAATGATGTTAAGGATCTAAAAAATCTAAAAGTTTGTATATCCTTATTACTTGTGAAATTAGACTTTTTTAAATAGGGATAAATATTAAGATATTATTGCAATTGCAAAAGAGTCTGCTAAGCTTTTGAGATTAAAAATTTACAATCGCATAAGATAAATAATTTGAAATGCTGTCATTTAATAATATTTTGAGATTTGATCCAAAGTAACAAATTATCCGTAATCATTAATCGATGATTCCTTGATACCACCAATGTTGTTGGGTTTGATGAATCAAGATTCATAATCAGCTCATCCCTTTTAACCAGTTTCATCCTGAGAACTAACTTTGAACACAGTTATCATTTGTGATTGGGAACGGCTATTAGTTAGTTCTTAAAATAAAACTTGTCTCTATTTTTGGCAAACTTGTATCTGAATCAATTAAAGAGGAATAAATACCTAAGACATAAGACATGTTTATTTCCAGGAGACATATTACAAATGTATTAGAAGAGTCAAGCATTTTTCATGCAGAGCAGTTGTCAAATTGAGAAGTAAGTTACGAAGTGTACTGTGAAGTCTACGAAAAAAAAATTGCATTTTAAGTTATTTAATTATTGGTCTTAAACTAATATCACAGAGTTTATCACTATCGAGAAGTAAAAACAACCATTTAAAAGTTAGCAAAACATTACAAAATTAGACAGGTTGTACTACAATGAAGGCATAATAGTTTGACAATGACAACTAAAAACATAACTTTGATGAAGGAAGGTCTAAAAAGTCTTTGAGTTCGTAAAAAGGATTAAAACTTTGACGAAGGAAGGTCTAAAAAGTCTTTGAGTTCGTAAAAAGGATTAACAGCTAGCCATTGGAACACTTTATGTTTAAAAGAATTATATGGGAGAGAGAACATACATGTAGTCATCTTATTGATACATTGCATGCCCACTATTTCATAGCTTTTCTTAGATTTCTCCAGTCTAACATAGGGAATGTCAAGTTAATTTCTGAATCAAGTATTGTGCTGGTGGACATCTTTGCGGCAGTTAAAAGCATTTAAATTCTTAAAACTAGTTAACAATAAATTAAAAATATACATGTTAACAACAGTGAGAATTTTAAAATCAATAGAAATTGGTTTATGGTGTTCAACAACATCTACTTTGGCTATTATTCTTAGAATCTTTTTCTGAATTACAAGAACCTTTTTTACATGTGGGCTATTTCCCAAAAAATTATTCCATAGCTTACTGGTATAATACCTTTCTAGATTTGCCAAGAAGTTTGGCCTTCAATGACTTGTCCTTTGAGACAAAGGTAGGACACCGATCCAGCATTGAGGAGAAGGATTGTGAGCGTACTCCAAACACTTTGCCCATGACAGTTCCCAGCGCAGCTCCTGTCGTGAACCTGCGATCGTCCACTACATCCTTGTCGATCTCCTCTCTGCGGAATAACATAAACATTGATTATTGACTGTTGAAGGGAAAATTATCAGATAGAAAAACGTTTTGAGTAAATGCTATTTGGAACATAAATTAATCTGAAACGTAATATGTATTTGAGCCAATTAAACCCTGTTATAATTTTGAGACTGTAAATTTAAACATACAAAAACAGATCTTTACTTTTGCCAGTTAAGAGATATTTCAGATTACCATGATTACCACAACATAACTCACAGGAAAGGCTCGAGCTTGGGTAGCAAGATGCTTTCAACGATCTTGATCTCCTTCCCCTTGTCATGTATGCTCTCGTCCAGAACGGAGTCCGGAGGTCCAAACAGTGTGCCCAGTCCTGCCGTCCTCTTCTGCTGGAAGTCCGCAAGCTGTTCATTCAGATCTTCCTTCGCCCGGTTACGTGCCTTCCAGAACACCTGCAAATGGAACAGTGGCTATTAGAATAATATAACTCAGAGATACAAATATAATTCTGTTAATATTAAAGTGTTCCATAAGTTCGTTGAGATTAATTGGTTAAATATTTTGGTTTGTAAAAAACCGAAAAAACATAGAGGGCATTTTGGGAATAACCTATACACAAATATGATGGATTTTTTTCGTAACTTAGTGCTTGTTCAGTACAGTTCTGTAAATAGCGTAATTAGTAGTCTCATCATCAATCATCAATTTTATTAACATTTAATTAACAGTGTGCATAGGTTTTCAACATTTATTTGTATATTAGTTACTTATTTTAAGTCTGTAAAATGTACTCTACTCTACTCACACACACACACCACGGCAATTCCCCTCCCCCACATTCTCCTTAAAATCATACGATGCCTACGTCATATGGCGTGATCTATCTCTGTCTCTTTCCCTCTCATGGAAAATTCAAATTTCCCCACCATGATTTTATTCAGTTAGCGTCTAAAACCTTCCTCGATCGGACGTATGTGCCGCGCCGCGCCGTTTTTCTGGCAATCTCTCGGTCTTTTGACCACCTCGTGGTGGAAGTGTCCCCACTTTAAAACCTCTATATCTTAATCAGTGAATAATAGTACTAAATTCCCCATTTCGAAGTGTGTAGTGCATCTGAACTTCCAGATCTTCTTGTGTGTCCCTCAGCGTGGTGAGCTCACCCAATCCCCATTCCCCCTGCTACTTTCCAGTGTTAGATTTTCTTATTGAAAGGTATGTGACACTGTTTTTTTCTAATCTCTATTAACTCTCATATCGAACAGTGCTTGTAATTTCAGCTATGAAATAGTAGTGCAGTATGACAAAAAGGATGGTTCATCACTCGATCAAAAAGTATCTTTTTGACCCTCACTTGTGTTTTGTCTTAATCTTTGCCTCGGTCGTTAACATTAAGCTCGGACTAAAAAGAATCATTTTAGAATAGATCCTTGTGACAAAATATATTATTAGGTTTTTTTTTATGATTTAAGTTTATTTGAAGAGTGAATGGAATCTAAGATCAAAAGTGGTTTGGCTTTACACAGTCTTCATTGCTCAAATTATGAACACCACATTCCTCTTAGTCTTATCTAATATAGGCCCATAACAATGTAGAATATAACAACAGTTTCAACCAATGATGTTATTACACAACCAGCACTTTTAGATGATGTAAAGTGGCTAAGCTTTTATTTATATTTTTGAGTCCTATTAAGTGGCTTTGACAAAATGAAAATCAAGGACTCCTTCCATTTGTGACAAATTCTGCATTACCAAAATGTGGTACTAATAGAAAGTGATTGATTACATTGTTCCAATAAACTCCACCAAAACTGATTGATACAAACCAGGCTAGGTTATAACATCCAAAGAATCTGGACAATTATTACCGTATTAACAAAGGTCATCATCCTATCAAAAAGCCCTCATTTGTAAGTTTGATTTTCAAAAAAGTTATTTTTGTCTAGTTTTTCACAAGGCCTTACCTTTCGCAGTATCTCTTCCTTGTCAGACTCGTTTTGTAAAACATCGTCCACTTCTCTTGCGATGTTTTCATCTACATTTGCAAGCCGAAGAGGCTGAAAATAAAAGTACATTTGGTAAATTAAATCAACTACATGGACAAAAATTACATCGGTAAAACTTTACATTTTAAACTGATGATTCAGAGATGTTATACTTTTAAATCTTCAAGGCTTAGGCCTAAGACACATTTTTCTGATTCCCTCTACTTCTTGGTTTTACTTAAACAGGGAAATTATTTCTTCCAAAATCTACTATAAAATATGTTAAAATTTTTTTATAATTTCATTTTTTTTTTTTTGTCCTAAGGACTCTAGGCACGAGCCTGGGATTGTTTTTCACATTACTTCAGGCTAGACCTAGGGGTTGCGGCATTATCACTTAGATAAAATCCATTTGTGACTTGGCGGGGATCGAACCCGGGACCTCAGGGAGTGAAGTCCCGTACTCTAACCACTACGCCAGCTCGCTCCCCAACATAATTTCAATTAGTATTGTTTTGAATAAATCGATTGAAAGACTTATTTCACTATAGGTTCTATTGGGTGTTTCAATGTCAACCTATTCTACTGTCCATCAGAGTCTATCTGTGAGAAATTTATCTGAGCTGCAGAGCAATAAGATTTGTTTAATACTTTGAAATATAAACTCATACTCACCGCGCCAGGGACTAAAAAGCTAGAATGGATCTCATAAGCCCACTTCTTCATCTCTTTAGCATTCCCAACTTTGTACAGATCTGTCACTAAGTAGAACAGCTGAAAAATACACAACATTTAGTGCAAAATGAATTGTGAATTTAACTCTACATTTTCAATTAGACTAGTGTACTTATTAACTTAGCTTAGCCAAAATGTAAAATGTTACGGAATTCCAGTTTTAATAAAATAAATATCTTCATATCTCATACTTGTATAGAATGGTGAATGATGTCTTTGGCAAGGGTTTGAGTAGGGAGGGTAGCACAGGTGCACGCAGAAGCACTGATGATACAAAACCTTGGTAGTATGTGTGTTCTTGACCAAAGACAATACAATAATAAATAATGCCATAGGGCTGTTAGAACTACATCCATAAGTCACTTCCGTCTACTCCTTGGTTTGCACAAGGTTGTGCAAGGCAGTATAAGAAAAATTTATGAATACTAAATTTAACAATAAAGATAAGTTTTTGAAATTAAATTTTGAGTTGATGAGGCAGGAAAAAATTGTTTTGTTAGGCTACTTAAAACAATTAATTAATTTTGTGTTGTGTTATATTATTATATAGAGTAGGGATGGTCAAGTCTCGAAATTTCGGGAAATTTTTGGGAAATTTTAAATCTCCTTACACGAGACGAGATTTCTTTTTGGCCGAGATTTTTATCAAGACAAGAATAAAAAAAAAAAAAAAAAAAAAAAAAAAAATTAAAAACGCCTGCAGAAAGTCAATGCAATACCCGCAATACAGGAGCGTGTTGTAGTTGCGTTTCCTTTGCGAAGGCGTTCTTATTTAATTAATTCTATAAATGTAAATATTACTTTAATTATTTTAATAATATTACTTTAATAACATTTGAGAAGTTTTGTTAAGTGTAAGCAGTGTGAGGAATGTTTTATTACTATAAAAAGTCAAAACAAGTAACCATTTTATAAAAATTAATATTGCATTTATTTTATTATTTATTTTATTTTAGGATAAGTTGAACTCTATCCTAACTGATATCACTATGTTTCCTAATCGTAGGCATTTTTAATAAGTTAGGCGTGATTAATAAAAAAATGTTATGCTTATGTTTTTTAATAAAAGATTGTAAATATTCTTGCCTATTATCATTATTTTTGTATTTATACAGTCATCTAACAATGTTACAAAATCAGGTAAAAATTTTGAACGTGCATTTCCCGTTGTGTATGAGAAGGGAAATCCCGTCTCGATCTCGTCTCGAAATTTTATGAGAAATAAAAAATCTCGTCTCGTCTCGTCTCGAACTAAAATTTCAATCTCGTCTATCCCTAATATAGAGTTAAGCACATTGTGTTGTTGTTAGGAGTATTGTATATGGAAGGGGAGGGGGTGCTAATTGGCGAAATGTTAAAGTATGAAGAGTGTACCTAAAGGTCAGTAGTGTACCTTCTAACACCTAAAATCTTAGAAAATAATTATAAACCAGGAGAAGAAAAATAGATGCGCCTCAAGTGCATACAAAGTAAGAAGAGAACTTCCAATAGCGGACTATACTGGTTTTACCCACCAGACTGGAAGGTTCGCTGTTAGAGATTACGTAGTTCATGAACACTGCCAGATGAGCATGGCTGTTCCACAGTTTTGAGAGACTCTTGAATGGTCCATGGTCCTCCAGCTGACTCTGGTACAACAGACGACGGTTAGCAACAACACACAGAGGGAAGAGGGTTGATTTAGACAAGTTTTTTTTTTCATTATTTGTAAAGAAGAAACCAAACAAAATAATCTAATTCTAATTAAACCTCGTCATATTTTATTTCAGATTGAAATGTGAGAATATGAGTGAACGGATGCGGTTAAACTCAACCTAGTAAAAGTTTTAGCAACTAAGAGAGGAACAAATTTTATTATTTATATACATTATATTCCCTATTGTTGGTGTTAAACGAATGTGCTAGCTACGGATTAACCCACACTTAACCTTTAAAACGTGAGAGGATGCATGCAGAAGCTTTTTTCCGCATCATATAATCATACAAACGTATTCAGTGTCACTTGATTTTATCACATAGTTTAGTTTAGTTAGTTTAGTGGTTTTTAAGATCAGTGTTATGGATGGACTCCATAAACCACTCAAATTTCCAATTACCGCTGATTTATGTTAATCAACTGTTAAATTACTTTACATGTTTTTAAACAGATCTCATGAGTAAACTGAATAAGCTCATCAAGTTAAGATCAGTTTTGTTTAGCAAAAAAAGTAACAATTTCTAAAAGGAGGCCACATGAACCTCATTCCTCTTTATTTTAAAAGCTGTTTTAAACAATTTGTCCATAATCTTTTCTGCAAAGAGGTATTAAACAGTTTGTATCGTTGCCAAAGGTTCTGGCAAGCCGCTGAAACACAAGTTTAAAATTGAACTTGAAGCAAAACAGTTAACTGAGTTTATGACACATTTTCACAAACACATTAAACCTAAAAGCCTACATTGTCATTAAATAAGATTAAAGCAAGATTGAAAGCTACGAGAGTGGGATAATAAACCACACAAGAACGAGGCTGGTTATTCCTGAATTACTCTCAATTTAGCATATTTAATAGCTGCTAGCTTTCCATGTCAACATACATAAATTGCAGGTCTGAGGTTATAAACTTATCACACAGTTGTTAATTAAATTTCCATCATAGAAAATGTGTTCATATAAAATAGTACAATCCCTAACTTGATCGTCCTGATGAATTGATTTATTGTTCAAGATTATAATTGAAAGCAAATTCAAATAATTCTTTTTGAAATATGAAAATTAAAAGAGCCTCACAAAATTAAGCTGGGATTAAATTAGTTTTTTATGTTCCTTCAGAGAACAATAAAACTATGTTGTGTACTTATTCTAAAGACAAATTTGACACTGGAATTTCATATAGATAATATACAAAAATTCATCACAATTTGAAAAGTAAGTAATCTTGTTCAACAATTATTTTTCCTACAGTCACCCGACAAAGTTGGCTTCCCTGTACTGTTTATAGTACAGAAAGCTGCTAATTGCTGCATATTTATACTTTGCCGTACGGTTTATACTTTGCCGCACGGTTTATACTTTGCCGCACATCAGGATTCCAACCAAACAACACAAAACAGCGTGGTTTTATTATGCACGTAATCCGTGTACGCTTGGAAATAGGTTGGCAACACTTAAAGATAATAATACTATGAACAGCTGATTGACTATTATAACTACGATTTAACCTGTCATTTCGTGTTTATAGTTTTGGTATTTCTGAACTTTCTGGACTTTTCTTTTAAACGTTTTTAAAACATTCCTACGGTCTTAATAAACAAGAAAATACCTTTAAAGCATTTTTTTTAGGCGCGGAAACCACTTCAAATTACAAAAACATACGGAACTATATTCTCAAAAGACGGAGCACATTTCTTGCCGAGGAAAAATAGCGGAGTGATACGGACCACGGGTACTACTTTCTCCAGGGCACCATTTGTGTAATTGTGTTGCTAGCTGAACCTAAAAACGTGTTGTATAGTGTTTGAAAGACTAATTAATTATGTTTTATAGTGACTGTAGGAAAAATATAATGTGTAACACGAGTGAAAAAGGCCTTTGCTGCACTCGAGATCATTCCGCACTCACCTGCGGCTCGTGCGTAAACATTGCTCTCGTGTGCAGCAAAGTGCCACTTTCACCACTAGTTACACAAATAACTATTGTAATGATGACATTGTAATACTAATAAAAACTGACTATTGTAAATTACACAAATAAGAAAAGTTTGTAAGGCAAAAGTAAAAAAATTACAGACTCATCAATGACAACTTTATATCTTAAGAATCAAGTTTTAGAATAAAAACAATTTATCAAGTAACATTGAATTGTAGCCAAAAAATAGCATAACAGAGTGAGATGTGAGTTTTCGATTGTTTTAGACAAACTGAAAAAAAATCAAGCACTCCTTTAAATACGTCAATGATTGAACAAAAGTTTTAAGTCAATAAGTAAAAATCACTAAATGTATCAGTGTTAGGAAAAAAGTCAAGATACTATTTTAAATGTTTGAGGATTAGTCTCTTATTTTGACAAGGCATTTTAGCACAATATAGTAGAAATTGAATTAGTTAGAGCACCAGGAGGTTATATTACTGGACTTACCATCTCCTGGTCGGACTCGTCTTCCTCCATGGAGATGATGGGAGGCTGAGGGCTGAGTCCAGGGTTGGGAGATATATCTCCTGGAGGAGGCTGCAACAACAATACATCAGTCAAACATTCAAACACAACCACAATGTTAGTTGATAAAAGCCACAGAGAAGAAATGATCACAGAACCCTTTGAATGGAAATTAAATATGGCCCATCTGACACAAGTCACTAAGCTATCAATTTTTTTGGATTTGTTTGGCAAAGTCCGTATGTAATTGGCTGCAGTGCCATTGCTGGTCCTTCTGACCTTCTACTATCCACTAAAAGGTCGCAAATCAACACTGATATTTTAGTCCTAGTGTTCGGCCACTTGGATTCCCTTTAAGGTATTTACAGAAAGTAAATAAAAGAAACGTCTTATAAGACTTAAAACTTACATTTACGCTTAATAACATGTACAATGCTGATCAAGAAGTCATTTAAGATATTTCACAAGGGGTCTGATAGCTTTGAGTATTTGATACCTAGATACTGAAGTTAAAGATACTCTTACTACAGTAGGCTATACAAATGTCACCAAAACCTCACCTCCCCTCTAGTGGTGTCATTCTCATCCAATGCTGGGCTGACACTGTCCTCAGTGACAGGGCTGGCTGCGCCGGCCCCACCATATGGGGGCGGAGGAGTGCCGGGGGGTGTGATACGGGGGGAGTCTACATCCCATGCGACACCACCCTTGGACCTCTTGGCAAAGTGGAGCTCGGACATGGACTCCGAAGCTATCAGCCTCTTGGACGCTGTAATACAGGAAACATTATTACCACGGAGAATGCAGGATTGTAATTTTATGAATATTATTACAAGCTATGTAGGTACTCAGTTCCATGCTCATCTTGCAGTACAGGATGTATGGGTGATAGTTGATAGTTGAGGTAGGCCTATACATATTTCTCATATGAGTTGTGCCAACTGTAGTCGTAAAGGCTCAGAACATTATAGCCTACTTATTTCTTTATGTAATTTATTTATTCCTATTTTAATTTTGGACTTAATAATTTGACGTTAGTATCCTAACAATTGAATATTAGTGTAAATAAATAGGTAAATGGAAAGGAGCTTTTCACAATGTGTCTAATTTTTTTTTAGGACAGACAGTTTTACTGAGATTGCCTTTTGAAATACATGGGTTATGAGCACCATGTACTGAACAGTGAATGTGGGACAGAATAGAAATAACAAATATTAACGTAAAGTTTATGTGTACCGGTATACCATACTTATTTACAAATTATAAATAATAGACAAAATAAGTTACGTATCCAAATAGATCAATAGGCTGTTTATGTGTAAAATCCAAATATCCTGATTGGATGGTTTAATCCTCTATCAAAAGAGTTTCACCTATCAAATGTTCCTATAGTTCGGCCGCTTAGAAAACGACCTGCGCGCTAATGCTAAACCAATGCTGGAGGAGGTCGCTTTCTAAGCGGCCGAACTATAGTTAGCAGCCCTGTATTCCCTTAAACTAATGTATTGTTGTTCTTGGACTAAATTCCAATAAGTACTCAACAATAAGTATTCAACACATTTACATAGACAATGGGCTATTAAGTGTTTCAATCATTTTTTGTATTATAAAGGAATGAATTAATGAATAAGTGCTTTACAGTATTTACAAAATATTGTTAGGCCCTAGGCAACCTGAACCTGTATTACAAAGGTACTTTTTTTGACAGATTGTCAAATAAATCATATCGATACCAGTAGTTAATATTTTCTTAAGTAATACATAGAATTTTTTTCAACTTTCAAGTTACAATTGACTAAGCTTAACCATATTGAAACATAACAATTCCCATTGTTTACTCATACAATACTTTAAAACCTGAACAAAGTACACTATCATCATAATAACTTTAACTTACGACTCTTGTCATTTTCATCGACCGAAATTGTACTAAGCTCTCCATCTGATCCAGCTGCATTAAAGAGAATATTGAGTAAGAAAAATGTAAATAGTAATATAGAGGGGCTGATAAGAATGTACTGCGGTTATCTATAACTTAATTAACTATTTCAAATAAGTAACTCTATATACGTACTTTTAAGGTGGGTTTATATCAGATTGTGATTGTTTAACACGGTTTGTAAAGAACAACATGATCAAACGGTCTAAACATTCACATGTGCAGAACAGAGTTCGAAAAGGTTTATAAACCCTCTACTAGATTGATGGTAAACTAAAGACTCGTAAAGTTACTCTGTGTTCAAGGCTTGTTTTGTCCAAAGTTTTGGGAGCTCCAATTAGAGAATTTGTATGTTCATTTTAAAGGTACAATTGTTGACATTTTAAGTATACTAACTTGTGCTGGTAAATGTTTGTGTGGCTGGGACTTAAACAAGTGAGTATTCTTTTGTTACGAGTCAGCCACAAAGATTTTGAGAGAATATATCCGATAAAAAAGAGTAATGTCTGTGTCCATGATTTGTTCTCTGACATGACTACTACTACTAAAAGTCTTCCTACATCTCTTTTAAAACCATCAAGCGTTACGTTTTATGTGAGCACTAAACAAAAATTTTTATCTAATATCATCAATAAAAATAATGGTCTAATAATTGTAGGAATCCCTTAATGCTCGCAGACAAGTGCTCATTTGTCTGAGTGCTGACAGCGTGAGTAGAGGCCCAAATGTAATTTATAGACAGGTCATACCAAAAGAGACAAGGTTTATAGCCCTGCTACCTGACACCAAGCCCATGTTACTCTCCTAGCAATATCAGGGATGCATCAATATTTTAAGTGTATACTGACCAGACTAGATTTCTTATTTAAAATAGAAAAGAAACAAAAGGGAGAAAAATGCTAGATACACTATTAATAATAGACAATTAAAAGCCTTTCAAATATACTAATAACATGGATTACCTTTAGTCTACAGCTCAATGAGTTGTAACTTTTTTTTACGGCCGTTTTCGCATTAACATGCCATTATCAGATGTCTTCGGCTGAAGCAGCGTCGTCACGGTAGAAACACAGAACACGAACTCTAACACATTCTACAATTACAACCGGTACCGTGTGTGAGACAGGCCTGTAAATTTTAGCGAATTTCCCTATAGGGAAGTAGCTATTACCGTAGGTCTCATGGTAAGACTTAGGCCCGGGACCGATTTACTTTTTCATTTTAATGTCCCCAGAGGCCAAAAACACCATTCGTTCAAATTTTTATATATGTATATATATATATATATATATATATGTGTCCGTGAACACGATAACTTGAGTAATTTTTATCAGATTTTGATGAAATTTGGTTTGAAGGTGTAAGGCGGGATAAACTTGAATGAGTTCGCGATCCAGCATGATCGGTCCATGGGAACAGGGTTTTATGGGGGTTTTATGGGGTAAAAATTGGTTTTTCTCACTTTTTACCCTCAAAACACAAAATTTCCCAATTTTTCTCTAAACCTTCTTAAAGAGCTTAAAAAAACAAACAATTCAGTATATCAAAGTGTTTTTGTACGGTTATTGGTTACGGAGAAAACTAAAAAAATGGTAAATTTAAAATTCCCATGTTATTCTTATGGAGAATATTGTAAAATGTTGTAGTTTGCTTGTTTATGGATATATTTTGATCAAACTTGGCAAATTTATTTATTTTATAGTAAGCTATCAATATTTTACTAAAAACACACTACTTTATTAGTTTCCTTGTAGCAGCAAACCTAGGTACTCGTTAAACCTAATGTTATTTAAATAGATCAATTGAAAATCAATTCGGCCAAATGGAAATTCGCTTAGACGGCAGGTTTGCTGCGGCGGGGGTATTATTTTCATATTTTTGTAATTGTAAAATGTGTTCCTATTCGTATTATGTGTTTCTTTTTTACTTTGACGACACTGCTTCAGCCAAAGATATCTGATGATGGCATGATAATGCCGAAACGGCCGTAACAAAAGTTACAACTCATTGAGCTGTAGAGGAAAGGTCTATTTTTAGTTACATCACAGCTCAGGGACTAAAAATGGATTTTACCTTTCGAATATAGCTGGTTTTTTCTTTCAAAAACTTACACTGCTGGACCAAAATTTGATATACGAATTTTAATAAATAATTTCCAACAGGAACAGCAGGAAACCCTATTTGAATAGCTGTAGGTTGGGTTTCCTTGTCAGTAATATTAAGATTTGTTTAATTAAGAAGATTGGTTGTCTCTTTTAAAATTGCATTAGGCCTTGGGCTTTGTGAAGAGTATTCAGAAAAGCAAGAGGTGAGCAAAAACAGTACAAGAGTGAACTGTACTGATACAATTGAGTGACAACTCTGGGACGCAAACCTTTGTCTTCGCTGCCATGGATTCATAGTCCGTTGCGCTACCGACTGAGCCAGAAACACATGTCAGATGATTCAGAATCAGAAACAGAGTACTTAGTAGGCAGTTCCAAAATTGAACTGATTTTATTAAATCAATTCCAAAATTGAAAGTATATTCTACAAAGTAGGCAGCTTTGCTGAGGTAGCCAAATGATCACTATCTAAGATACAAGGGTAATTATTTTTTAATTACCTTCAGCTAAGGAGAGGTTATGAGCAGACATAGTGTCAGGGTTGGACTTTGTCCTGTGGTGAGTCGGAGTTTGTGCTGCGGGGCCCTGCAAACATGGCAGAAATAAATTAGTAATATAGGTATTAATGTTGAAAAATAAAACACCCAGTTGGCATGTTATTCACAACTGGAAATAGTTGACAAAACCTTAGCGTCATCACTAAAATAAATTTAAAATGTTGAGGTTAAAGCTATTCTTTTTTGGTAAAGCAAAAGTTTTATACACATAAGCTGTTATAGGTTTCAAAATTTGATGTGTTTGAATGTAATGTGTTTTAAAAAGATGTTAAACCTCCATTGGTCACACCTAATTTATTAGATACAGCAACACAAAAAATTCCCACCATTTTTGAATTCTCGCCCCAAAACCGGTCTTGGCCACTGTGCTGCTTCCTTCCCTCCCCCCTCAGTTTCTAGTTTGTGATGTATCTCAAAATAAAAACGGGACCGGTTTCATTTTTATATGATATATCTTTGTTATATTTCTGTTCTATCATACAAATACCCCCACCGCAGCAAACCTGCAGACTAAGCGAATTTCCATTTGCCTGATTGGATTTAGACTAAAATGTCTCCTTAAAAATATCACATTTATTCCCTATTTAAATAGAATCAGTTTAACACATACTTAGGTTTGCTGCAACAGGGAGGGTAAAAGTGTTTTTTTTTATGTAAAATGTTAATAGTAAGAAATAAAAACATTTTCCAAATTTGGGCAAAATATGTTAATAAACAAGCACACTACAACGGTTTACTTATTCTCCATAAGAATAACATGGGAATTTTAAATTAACAATTTTTTGGAATTTTCTCCGTAACCATTAGGCGCATTATAACGCTTCAATATACTAAATTATTTGTTTTTTTAAGCTCTACAAAATAGTTTGGAAAGAAATTTCAAAATTTTATGTTTTTTGGGTCAAAAATAGGAAAAACCCATTTTTACCCCATAAAAGCCCCCATAAACCCCTGTTCCCATGGTCCGATCATGCTGGTTCGCGAACTCGTTCGAATAAACGTAGGTTTACACGTTTGTACCAAATTTCATCAAAATCGGATCATTTTTGCTCGAGTTATCGCGCTAACGGACACATATATATATATATAAATATATATATATGTATATAAATATATATATATATATATAAATATATATATATGTATATAAATATATATATATATATATAAATATATATATATATATATGAATTTGAACGGATGGTGTTTTTGGCCAGTAGGGACCTCAAAACGGAAAAAAAAAATCGGTCCTGGGTCCAGGTCTTACCATGAGTACTACGGTAATAGCTTATTCCCTATATGGGAAATTCGCTAAAATTAGGTAATTCCATTAAATATAGAAATAAATAAAACTGTTTTTACCTAGAAAAAAAAAACGTTGAGAATTTAATTTTACATACAGTGTGACAGGCATGGTCACACTGTATCTAATGGATACAGAATGTGTATGGTCTGATAAATTGTTTTTTATATGTGTAATTGAGAAATGCTTAGACAGTGTGAAATATGCATGACATCAAGAGTGTTTATAAAGTAAAATAAAAATGATGGGGAAAATATATCTCTAAAAGTACAAAAAAACCTTTAAGGAAAAATGTATACAAGAGATATAGTGCAACCGGTCATGTTAAAAATAGGTGCGACCGACAGGTGTTTAAGTATAAACAATTTCTGGATATTGATAATATAAACTTTGGAAACTCGAGGCTTCTGTGGTTTGACAACTTTATTCTCAAAATTCTTTCCTATACAAGAAGTTTTTTAAATTAAAAAATGGGAAATTTCCTGTATGGCAAAAATGTCTAACAACTTGACCCTCTAAAAGTGGGTAGATATTTTGTCAAGTGTGAGTGTTGCAGAAACCCTTAGCAAAATTAGTTTGTACAAAGAAGCTTGATACTGCCAAAACATAATAGGCAAAATGTAAAAGTAGGGCATTAACTTAAATTTATTGTTTGATTTTTAATGTTGTTGTAGCTAGTAAAAGTAAAAAAAAAACTTGTGACATAAGGTAAAAAGTTGAGAAAACATTCCAAATAGGATTTTAATACTCAAATAATCACAGAGAGAAGATTGAAAAAATTCTCAAAAGAAAAGAGCATTTCATTTAGCTAGACAAGAATAACCAAAACCAGTTGCGACAGTATAAGTCCTAAAACCAATTTTTTTTATAAGCTGCAGGAGTGCAATCTTGTGCAGTCCTATCTTGCTAACCCACTACTTACGGCAATATTAGAGTTGACAGTTCCCAAAACAGACTCGGAGTGAACCAGAAGATACTGCCTGGGAGGCAAGGGAGGAGGGGACTGGGGGGACGAGAGAGGAACAGGGTTGCGGGACGGGAGAGGCGGAGGAACATCGGGATCTGCATGCCGAGGGGAAAGTGGCTGCAAAGCACAAGCAAATTAGTACAAGCTCAACACACTAGCGGCACACGCTTGAATGGTTGATGGGATGGTTCTCGGTTAGTAGAATAATTAATGATTTGGTTGAGAAATGAGTGAAAAACTCTTAGGCCAATTGGTTGAACATTTCTAGGGTGCCAAAATCTGGTGGATTTGCTTTAATAAGTTGATTAAGTAGCCTATTTATTTTTTGAAAAGTATGCCTAGAAGAACCTGGTTTCCAGATTTTCCATGATGTGCATGATCAGTTTCAAGAATCCTGGATTTTGCTAGATACCTATTTTACTGACTATAGAAAAACATAATTAGGACCAATGCAATGACTCCTCTTATTAAAATATTTACTTGAGGTGGCGGTATATTTTTTTATTCAATAGTTTTCTTACAGAAATTTTAAATTTCACTTCTCATTATGTCAAGTTGGCCAACCACAAAGTATTTGACTTACAATAACATTTGTATAAGAATAAAATCCATTATTTAAATTAAATTGTTTTTAAGTATAATTAAAACTGTTCATCAGCGAGTATTTGTAAATAAAAAAGGAAATAAGAAAGTGTTTGAGATTTGTGCAACTATTGGTTCCAAATCTCAACAGTTTGAGTATAATGTTTTGTTCGATGTAGCATAAGTAATTTTTCTCATATAGTTTTACTTTTTTTTTATTAAGTTTTTAAATGTTATAAACAAAATGACTAAATCTTTTATCAGTCATGAGTTAATAAGAGTTATTTATGTTATTTATTAGTTCACCACCATGGATTCCCAAAAGCATTTGATAGTCACTCTCACCAATCATTAGTAGGTAGTTAAATTTAGAAGAAAGTTTTCAAAACAAATATCTAGACACAGGGAGTATTTTACAAACAGCAGCAGAAAAAAAATCAAAATAGACATCAACCATTCAAATTAAAACATCAACTCTCCTCTAACTCATAGCTAAATTTATTCATCTACTGACAAATCTAAACACTGAAACCAACACTAAAATAAATAATTTTAAAAATAAGTTAAAATAAAACATCAAACGTGAGAAATCTCAAAATGCATTTTGAATCTTACACAGAGCAAAATATCAAATTCATAAGATGCACAAAACCATCACAATATTTTGCTAATAACATTTTTCATGTAAATAAACAGAGTTTTAAAAATGTTTCCATTGCACCTAAACCTAAAGGTAACCTTTAAATAAATTTGATAAATTAAATTTTCCATTGTTTTTAATAAGTTGACAGTATCTTCTAATCTTACATTTGCCTCAACAAGTGAGCATCAAATGCCTGAGTGTGAACATACTAAACAAATCAAAGGTGAGATGATACAGCACAAGCATTAACTAAACTGACAAATTTAAGGTGGCGCTAGGACCTGAACTCGCAAGAATTTGGTTCCGTAGTTTGTCACCCCATCAATTGAGCTACTGACTTGATGGCGATTTAAAATAATTAAATGTTTTAACTTATTTTAGCAAACACATTTTAAAAATATGTAAGGGTCGTTTTTGCATATAAATCCTTAGTTCGCTTGTACAGCGCAAAAAAGGTCTTCGCCACTTATTGGTATCATTTGTGAACAGAATTACACCATTTGCAGCTCTGTAGCTGACGTGTACGCTTCGCTGTGGTTTTAACAATTTTTAAGCTATTGAGCCTCAGCTTTTAAACACTCAGCGAAACATACATGTCAGCTACAGAGATGCAAATGGTATCATTCTGTTTACAAATGATGCCAGTAAGTTACGAGGAGCTTCGTTGCGTGTACAAGAGAACTACGGATTTATAGGAAAAAAACTGCCTTTTCAAAAAAAAACCACCCTTGTATACTATTATTTACTGTAATCCAGCTACTAGGAGGTCATGAATTGTGGATATTTATAGGCATTCACTGTGGATATGATACTCCCTGGTGTGGATTAACGTCTGCACTAGTGAGTACTACGACGATCCGCAGTACTATCCTGATAATTAGACTAATTCGTTAATACCGAGGCAAAAATGCGTTTCGGATTCCACTATAAACTGTAGGTACCTTAGTTGCCATTAGCTGTATGGGCTATTAATTAACAGCTGTGTCTAAGGAATATGTCGGCCTTAGTAATTAACAAGACTACAAGATCGCGCCACTCATCCTACACTCATCTCCATTCATACTTGGCTTAAAATATCTACTTTGTATGGCCAATTATTTCATTAAAAAGAATTTAAGTATATTTATTTTTCTATTTGCTTCCATTTAGCATAAAACTAAATAGATTATTATATCAAACAATTAATTATTATAAGTAACAAATTTGTATAACTCTAACATACAGGGTGATTGAAAAGTCTGGGTACGGCTTAATATTTTGAAAAATAATAAACGTAGACCTACAAAACTTGGAATCTAGTTATAAGGCATATAAATCTATCTTAACACATATCCAGTGATCCGCTACCTCCTCAGGGGGACGGCCCGCCAGGAGTCAGAAGAAAATCTTAAATGGAAGCATAGGTCAATATGCACATCAAATTAAAGGTCTTTTTTAGTAGAATACAATGCCGCAAACCACACTTCAAAAGGTTGATCCTGCGCAAAATGACAGTTGTTCAAAGATTCATTTAATTTACATTGCTATTATACGCTTTCTCCTCAGGGGGCACAGCCCTAGGAATCGGAAGAAAATTGTTAACGTAAGAATAGGTCGATATGCACATCAAATTAAAGGTCTTCACTTTTATATTACGATGCCGTAAATTCAAGCTCAAAAGAATGCCTGAGTAAAAAATGGCAGCCGTTCAAAGATTCAAAATGGCGGATTCAAGAAATCTTTGAACATCTGCCATTTTGCGCAGGATCAACCTTTTGAAGTGCGGTTTGCGGCATTGTATTCTACCAAAAAAGACCTTTAATTTGATGTGCATATTGACCTATGCTTCCATTTAAGATTTTCTTCTGACTCCTGGCGGGCCGTCCCCCTGAGGAGGTAGCGGATCACTGGATATGTGTTAAGATAGATTTATATGCCTTATAACTAGATTCCAAGTTTTGTAGGTCTACGTTTATTATTTTTCAAAATATTAAGCCGTACCCAGACTTTTCAATCACCCTGTATGTTAGAGTTATACAAATTTGTTACTTATAATAATTAATTGTTTGATATAATAATCTATTTAGTTTTATGCTAAATGGAAGCAAATAGAAAAATAAATATACTTAAATTCCTTGTGGGACGTCCCCCTGAAGAGTTATTGAATCACTGAATATGTGTTAAAATAGAGTTTTATGCCCTGTAACTTTGTACCAAGTATTTTAGCTCTATCTGCATTATTTTTTAAAATATTAAGCCGTACCCAGACTTTTCAATCACCCTGTATGTTTATACAGGGTTAGTAAAAAGTGTGGAGACCCCCTGTTATTTTTTTAACGGCCCATATTAGAAAAACTAAACTTGGCACACCTTTATGGCATGTTATGAAGTACTTTTTTGGCATAACCGTCACTTGGTGTACATCCCCAAAATGGGGGATTTTGGGGGAAACTCAAAAATTTCAAATACAAAGACCTATCGAGTGACCCCTCATTTTGAAGGTCCTGGTAAAAGAAAACAAAAAACGCAAACTAGAGGTCTTTATCTCAATCCACTAAAAAATGGCAGCCAATTGAAATTCTCAGAAGTTGAATTTAACTTGCAGCTTTCCAAGTCTGGAGACCCCCTGTAAATTTTGTAGCGGCTCGCACTAGGAAAACTAAACTCTACACACCTTTTTGGCCTGTTATGAAGTACTTTTTAAGCCTAATAGCCACTTGCTTACCAAACCCAAAATGGGGGATTTTGGGGGAAACTCAAAAGTTTTTAATGATAAGCCCCATCAAGTGACCCCTCATTTTGAAGGTCCTGGTAAAAGAAAACTAACAACGCAAACTAGAGGTTTCTATCTCAATCCAGTAAAAAATGGAAGGTGATTGAAATCTTTAAAATCGGAAATAACTTGCAATTTTATATTGAATTGGCTGCCATATTTTACTGTGTTAAGATAGAGACCTATAGTTGTGTTTTTAGTTTCCTTTTATTATGACCTTCAAAATGAGGGGTCACTCGATGGGGCTTATCATTAAACAATTTTGAGTTTCCCCCAAAATCCCCCATTTTGGGTTTGGGAACTTATGAGAATTTCAATCGGCTGCCATTTTGTACTTAACTGAGATAGAGACCTCTAGTTTGCGTTGTTGGTTTTCTTTTACCAAGACCTTCAAAATGAGGGGTCATTCGATGGGTCTTTGTATTTGAAATTTTTTAGTTTCCCCTAAAATCCCCCATTTTGGGGATGAACACCAAGTGGTGGTTATGCCCAAAAAGTACTTCACAACATGCCATAATGGTGTGCCGAGTTTAGTTTTTCTAGTATGGGCCGTTAAAAAAATAACAGGGGGTCTCCACACTTTTTACTAACCCTGTATACTCAAGCATATTTTATATACATTTTTAAAAAATGTATATAAAAAATGTAAATTGTAAAGGATAATATAAGAGATTAACAAATAATATCCTGTAGAGCTGTATTATTCACAGTAGCCTAATATGCCTTGAGCCATTGTGTAACTTGTCACGGATGAGTTATGGTCTTCCTATCTCGAGGCTATCAAATAAATTAAACCTCCTCAAACCAAGAATGCAAAATGACCACGAGCAAAACAATCTTTACTACTCATTAGAGAAGAAATTTTATGACAATAGAGGTCATCAACTCTTGGCCACTTTATAGATTGATTAAGGTTTTTTCCCCCAATCATAAAATGATGCAATCAATAGACTGCCATATATATTAAGCCAAGACATTTTAAGTAAATCAGCCACATGAATAAAAACTTAAAATTTTTAGTCAAAGAATTATCCATCGAGTGACACCTCAGGAATATCAGTGAAAACCAGAGGTCTCTATCTCAACCTACTACGACATGCGGTCATTTTAAAATCAAAAACACATTTACGTTGCGTTGTT